GTAGTAGGTCCATATGTATGGCCTGTGAGTGTGTATATGTATGTTTGTATTTGTTTATTTTTACACTTTTATTTGCATATAAAATCATGAAGGTTGGAAAAGACTCTCAGATCCCCCAGTCCAACCACCAGCCCACCCCCCCCACGCCCACTGCCCACGTCCCTCAGTGCCACATCCACACGGCTCCTGAACACCTCAGGGACGGTGACTGCACCACCTCCCTGGGCAGCCTGTGCCACTGCATCACCGCTCTTGCTGAGGAGAAATTCTTCCTAATATCCAACCTGAACCTCCTCTGGTGCAACTTGAGGCCATCCTCTCTCGTCCTATCACTGTTACTTGAGAAAGGAAAAACAACCTCATGAATTTCTCATGCACAGTTAGATCTCAGTTGTCAGTTGATCAGGACAAGTTATCATTTGGAACATTTGAGATGTCCTTCTGCTTTCCTGAGTGTTTTATTTTGTATTTCTGTCCAAGTGTGGATATAGCATAAAAAAATCACAGCCACCAAGCTGCTCCTTTTAAATCCAGTGGACCTCAAATGTGGCCCCACTGAGAAAAAAAATGATGGTTAGCAAATCTTGCATTTATCTCACACTATTTAATTCTTCCCTCTTAAACACCATGAGAAAAACACACATCTAATCCTCCGCTAGGAAATTCTTAGCAGAGGAGAAAATTAAATGGAAAGCAGTTCTGAAATGTTAAAAGCAACGTGGTTCTACTGAGTGGATTCATGTGATGTTGTACAGTATCATAATGTAATTTTGACAGTCTGGTGTATAAAAATAAGTCAGAAAAAATATATATATATATTTCTGGTTTTCAATCCCTTGCTGTCTGGTCATTCTAGTAACTGTGACAGAAGTTTTGAGAAGAGTTTTCTCTGTTTACAAAAGCTTTAAAAACAAATCTTCTGTCATCCTAGTATAAGAACTAGCTCTTGGGGCTCATGGGGGAAATGTAGTTTTTACACCCTCAGAAAGTGAAAACAAGGGGATCTTGCCTGATTTATGGCCCCAGCAGTTCCGCTCTAGCAGCAGACATAAAGCCTTGTACTATAAAATTACATAGGTTTGGTCTCCTGGGTGGCTTGGCCAAGCCTGGAGTTGGTAATCTAGAAGAAAACACTATTTAGTTTCTGTGCTCGTTTTCAAGTCGATGACGATACTCTGTTCCTCTTGCCACACAGGATGAAGCCATGGGAGACATAAGGAAAAAAATCGCCTGGGCGGTGTCATGCTATTTAGCTTTGTAGAAATGAGGCTTACTTCTGTTGCAATCCTGCAGCATAGTAAATACAGCGTCTCCGTTAGCAGACCACAGTCCCTGTATTCTCATAGCAATAAAAAGGCTAAGAGTTTGAGAAACATTTTTGGCGTTTGTCCAGCCTTGAGCTTATTTAGCTTGGTTGTAGCTGTAACAGCACATTGCCAGTGGTGTGTTGGCTGGAGTCTGATTTGTTTTAGCTACACTGACAAAACTGTCTAGTAAGCAGCCAATTAGTGTTTAATTTGTTTTAACTTTGCATTCATTTTGCATAGCTAGCTATTACACCAAAGTCTTATACTACATATGATCACTAATTTACTACTTGTTGCCATTGTAATATTAAATTCACAGACCAGCCAGGAAGATGTGCTGAAAAACAGCTGTTTGGAAGTGTGCAGGATTCAAGTTGTCCCAAGAAACTGACTATGAACACATCAGTACACATCACCTGATGAAGAACCTAGCACTGGCAAATAGCTGCAACATCACAGCTGAGGAAAAATTATCTGTGGATTGTGGACACACAGATGAACATCTCAGTGGAGAAGGAGAAGATGGTGGAGAGGGACGAGAGTTAATGTCCTCAAGTTGTGCCAGGAGAGGTTCAGGTTGGATATTAGAAAGAATTTCTCCTCAGCAAGAGCAGTGCTGCAGTGGCACAGGCTGCCCAGGGAGGTGGTGCAGTCACCGTCCCTGAGGTGTTCAGGAGCCGTGTGGATGTGGCACTGAGGGACGTGGGCAGTGCGCGTGGGGGGGGGGGGTGGGCTGGTGGTTGGACCGGGGGATCTGAGAGGTCTTTTCCAACCTTCATGATTCTATGACTCTATGATGAAATCAGTATGTGACAGGTTTGTATGGGAACTGCTGAGTCACGGCCTGAACCTCTGATGGATCACCTGAGGCAAGCCATGAGTCAGCCAGAGGAGCACAGGTGAAGGCAATTCA